AAAACTTATAATTTTATCCTCAGCCGCCATTCTAAACACGTGCATTTTATGTTGACATCATAGTTGTACCTAGTTGTCCGGTTGTCCCAAAATTGTCAAAGTTGTCCTTTGGACGATTTTTAAGTTTTTTCAGTTGTCCTTTAACAAGAACATTCTTTTTTTAGTTGTCCCCTTAACCCTTGAAAATTTTATACATGCCCCAAGGGTGTCGCGCCCTTACTTTTGTATTTCCCATATTTTTACGTGTAGCCTCTTATAAGATGGAAACCATTGTCAAAAAATGCCTTATACCATAAGGGTTATCTCATTAGAAACACAAATGGTATATCTTATTTTCAGAAAATAATGGGTTTTTTTAAAGTGTTTAGTGGTAGTCGTTGAGTACCCAGTAGTTAATGGTTTAGGGCTGTATTTGTTTAGTGTTTACGAATTTAAAGAAATTAGTTTGTCCAATTTGTCATAGTTGTCCTAGTTGTTCTAGTTGTCCAACATTGTCATAGTTGTCCTAGTTGTTCTAGTTGCCCAAATTGTCATAGTTGTCCTAGTTGTTCTAGTTGTCCAAATTGTCATAGTCGTCCTAGTTGTTCTAGTTGTCCGACTTGTCATAGTTGTCCTTGTTTCTCACAGTTGTCCCAATTGTACCAATTGTCCACTTTATTCTATTTTGCCTAAACTCTGTCATAGTTGCACATAATTGTCCTAGTTGCCCTAGTTGTCCTACTTGTTTGTAGTTTGCCTGGGTTTGGACGTAGTTGCACCTAATTGCACCTAGTTGCCCTGTTGACATTCTCGAAATCTAAGTCCAAGAAATTCAAAATACAAATTACTCCAAAATACATAGTATTGCAAGAAATCCAAGATAATTAAAATATTCCTTAGGCCTAGCTCTCACCGCCCTGACCGCTCTGACCGCCCTGACCGCTCTGACCGCTCTGACCGCCCCTTGGGTTTAGTGGTTGAAACCAACGGCCAATGTTTGTGTTTGGGTTGGCCTTCTGACTCCTGCGAGCTTCTCCGGTGGAAGGAAACCGCTTCTCCCTCTTTCTTCCTGCTTTTTTGGTATAGTCTGGTGGATAAACAACTAAATTAGCTACCTCCTCCGGAATAATCCAAGTAGAATGATGCGGCACCATATAGATGGTTCTGTGGTAAGCCATCGCCCAAGTATCAATCAAGTAGTATCTCGAGCATAAATCGAAAATGTTTAAGTCTCTTCTTCTTGAGGACGTCCGCATCATTGCAATGGTTGCGGCTATTGCATGAACACATGGAATCTTATCAATATCAAACATGCGACAACCACAACTTTTTGTTTCCAAATTAACCAGATAGCTCTTCCCATCAACTCCAACAACACAGTATTCAAGTCCAGGTAGATTTAGCTCAGTCACATCTAATTTGGTCGCAATTACACATTATTTATGCAACTCGTTTTCCACATACGGCACCAGTTTCTTCGAATATGATGCACCAGCTATGTTATTCCTATGCCTGTTGAACCATTCAGACACTTTCTCAACATACGCATCAATCAAAGGCAATAGTGCATACTTTCTCGCCTTCTTGAAGATGCTGTTCATTGATTCACAGGCATTGCTTGTGTCCAAGTTATACTTGTCCCCTTTAAAATTCCACCGTGCCCATTTATCAAGAGGAAGACCATTCTCTAAGTACTCCGCAGCTTTGAGAAACATTCTACCAAATTCGGTGTATGCAATTAGAAACTCACTTTCGGTGTACTTATGAGCGCACTCAATGAATTTTTTAGAACACAAATCCTTCCAACCATTGGCTGCTTTACCCCTCACATTACGAGACAAGTGCCACACACAAAATCCATGCTGAGACAGAGGGTATACCTCCTGCACTGCCTTCGCTATGCTTGTGTGTCTGTCACTCATAAAAACGATCTCAGGATTATTTGGTATAACAGTTTTCAGCATTTCTAAAAACCACCTCCAACTAGAGTCTTTTTCACTATCGATTACACCCATTGCAATAGGGTAATGGTGATGATTAGGATCCTGAGCCGTGGCAAATACTAGCATACCACCATAAACATTTTTAAGAAAAGTCGCATCCACCACTATGACTTTCCTCATTGAACTAAAGCCTTCAATGCTGGCACCCAAAGCAACAAAAAGATACTTGAACTTATTATTAGCATCCACTTTCACGCTCGTCACTGTTCTGGGGTTCACCAGCTTCAACACATACAGATAAGAATGCAATCTTTGAAAGCTTTCTTACCCCTCACTTGACTAATCGCCAGTTTTTTTCCTCTCAACGCAGTAGAGTAGGACACATTCACATGAGCTTCATTTTGAACAACCTTCACAATACTTCTAGGAGCCGGTGTGTCCACTACACCTGGATACGATGCACGCAAAACATCTGCTACAACTTGTGGAGTACCTTTTCTTTTGTTCTCAATTGTGCTGGTAAGGACCCGAGAACAACTATGCATTTTCCTGTATACTCTAAGGCTGAAGTAAGTTGAATCCTTCATTCTTACAGCATGTATATACCATGAACAACCATGTTCAGCTTGACGGCATCTAAGAATGAGTCGGCCAGGATCAGACTTCACTGTTTTAACCTCAAAACATCCCTTATACGAAGCTCTGTCAACCAATACTCGCAACGCCTCTTTCGATCGAAATTCTTGATTTTTCTCAAAACCAGCACCATCTTCCCATTCAATAACAAACTGAGTCGGTTCTGAAGCCCCAGCAGGCTCAACGTGATCATGCTCATCCATACCATACTCTGCAGGCTCTTCTAAACCCTGATTATCCGGTTGTGAAACAGTATCATCAATCACTATCTGTGTCTCAGTCTCAGGTACAGCCACAATAGCAAGTTCGTCCTGTTCTTTCGCTGCTTCTACGATTTCAAGCATAATATCGCCTGTTTCTAGCTCTTGAATCTTATCTCTTTCCAAATCTTCCATTATCTCCACATGCAACAGAGATCTAAGTCCCTCTTTATCCACAGTTGTTAGATAGACATACACATCACCATCATCAACAATGCATGACTCATTGAGTGGCTTAGCTACCAACGGAATGTAGCTTAACTTGAGCTTCTTCTCACTATCATTTACCCCAATCTTCTTGCATATACCATCTACCACCATCGAATATGTTACCTCATCCAAAGAGGTTTTAAATGATATAGCATAGATGGAGCTTCTTGATATCCATTTAAACTCCTCTCCTTCCTTATAATAACATCCTCCATACTCAAAATGTATGTTTGTGTCGCCGCTCATCCTCTTCTGTTCACAAAACCAAAAAAACTAAGTCATTAACGAATAACAATGTTTCCTTTTTTCCCATAGTTTTACCAATTGTCCCAATTGTCCCAGTTATCTCAATCAGTTATCCCAATTTTACCAGTTGTCCCAATACATTCTGGGTCTCAATTGTCCCAATTATCCCTATTGTCCCATTCCTGAAAAGTTAACCAATTCAACTCAGTTATCCCAATTGTACCAGTTGTCTCATTCCATTCAGTAAACCGAGTTGTACCAGTTGTCCCATTCCATTTACTTACCCGAATTGTACCGGTTTTCCTATTACATTCAGTTATCCCAATTGTACCAGTTGTCCTTTTCCATTCAGTTAACCCAATTGTACCAGTTGTCCCTTTCCATTCAGTTAACCTAATTGTACCAGTTGTCCCATATCTCACTGATTCACTTTACAAACCTCCGATTCAGCTCGATTCAACGGCAACAAGTTAAATTTTAACACTCAGAAGACTAAATCGACATATATACGCCACTCTACTATCCAATGTGCAACCTAAAACGACCGGAATTGACAAATCGATTACTAAACCCTAATCCCCAAACTGTAGAAGAAGTTACCTTATTACCAAACGACGGCTCTGCACCGAGATTTGCCGAACACCACGGGTTCAGAGAAGGCCGGCGCACAGCGCCGAGCGATAAAAAACGAAAACGGATCGAAGATTCGATCGGACGATTTCTGGGAAGAATTTTTGATTTCGGATTTCGGTTCAATATGTTAACCCAGAATTTCGAGTTATGGGAAGAAACCAGATTCGGTTTTGGTTTTATAATTTTCCAATTTTCATTTCTCAACTTTTTCGATTTTTTAAATAAAAGAAAACAAAGACAAAATCAGTAATGCCATATTTACTTTTTATTAAGGGTATTTTCAGAAAATCACGTCCTTTATAACACTCAGATTAATTTATGGCAGGGTAGATTATTTTTTTTTCATTTGTGGCTTCTCGGTGATTCTTCCGTTTTCTTTCGGGTTTTTGAACTAAAGAGAAAACGAAAGTTTGTTATCTTATGAACTTCGACATGCTCTTCGTTGTAGGTTTGTCAAAAACCTTAGTTCCATATTGAAAGTCTAAGGGTTAATACAATCGATTTATATGAGTACTCTCTTATTTATTTTTATTATTTTATAATAAATATGAAACATTTTTATAATGTTCAACAATTTCTGAGGATTAAAATGATCAAAATTTCAACGGGAATTTATCTCTGTCAACAAATATACATATTGGAACTTATATTATATGATTTTGTGACATTTAAGTTTATATAAATTTATTGTTTGCGTTGCTTGATTCAAATTAATTTATATTAATATCGTTTTCGTGTCAAAAGCTGGATTCAATTTCAGTGTTAGAGATGTCAAATATGCTATAAATTCGCGGATGAGACTATAAAATCCTTCAAAATGCGGATTTAGACAATAGTATTCATGTTCATTAAATACATAAATATATGCATGCATTCAGTGATATGCATATGTTGTAAAGCAAAAAAAGAAAGAAAATAAAAAGTTAATGGGATTTTTTTCTGTTCTAATTAAAATGGTTAAATGAAGAGATGGTTTTTTTTTGGGTAAGAAATGAAGTGATGATGGATCCAAACTCCAAAAACATTGATAAAAAATAATTCGGCAATTAAAAAAAAAGAAGAAGATCATTTTCCCGTCCCATTTTCCCTCGAAAAAATGTGGAAATTCTAAAAATAAGAATTTGTTCATGTATATATACAAAAGGCGGAGAGAAACACAACGAGAGCTAAGATTTCGCAACAGAGAAGAAGATAGATAAAACAATGGTGGCTGTTCAGTTATTTAGCTGGAAGCCATTGTTTCTACCTTCACAAGCTCTGAGACGGGATCGAATCCCATCTTTTAACAGGTTTATGTTTAATTCTTCTTATATAACTCCAATTTCTGAAAACAATGGTGGTGAGACTTATCATTATGAATGATTATGCAGTTTTGTGATGATCGAAGATTTGAAGGGTTTCATTTGTTTTTTTTTTATTATTAATTTCTTCTTCCGGTGAAGAAGCTTCTTCATATTTGTTTTATGTAAAGGTAGCGACTTTAACGGTTATGGTTAGAGATTGGAATTCTACTGGATTCTGAATCTGGGTTTTAGAATTTTGTAAGCTAAGCTGAAATGTGATCTTCAATCAAAGTTCATCTCTTTTTTGCAGGAGATTGAGTTTAAAGTCTCTACCTTTGGGTGGGATTGAGTCTTTTAGATGCCGAGGTGAGTGAGGATTAGTCTCTGTAAATTGGGAGATATTTTTTTGTTTTGTTTCAATAATTGGTATGCTATATTAAAGGATTTGGCATTTTCCCCTAAACTGGAACTCTTTAATGTCTCATTCATGTTCTTCACTTCTTGCTCAAATCAGACTCGTGTTTGATTGGGCTAATTTCGTTGTCATTTGTTTCTCTATACTAATAGGGACCTTCAAGGTCAGGTGTCAAAAAACAGGAGACGCAAAGCCGTCTACTGCCAACCTCGGTTTTTTGAAGGATCTTAGTTCCAAATTCCATAAGGTGAAGCTAAGACCATGTCTTTATCTCTATTTCTGGTCCTGTACGGTGCAAAATCAGTCGAATAGTTCGTGCTCCTCTCGGGTTTAAGAGGTTGTAGACTGCACACGATTCGTTTTCCCCTACATACTCGTTTTGACGGATAAATTGTAGCTCTTTGTGTTTCGTGGTGTCATTGATGTCTTCATATGCGTTTGCTTTCTTGTTTAGTTCTCTGTTTGAAGGATGAATTTTGAGATCTTTGTTTCTCCTGGTGTCACTGATGTCTTCACTACGTTTGCTTTCTTTTTCGTATGCTTATGTTGTAATCTTCCTAAATCTTGCAGAGTCTTCCATATAAACTTGTGATAGGATGCATCCCACTGTATGCGGCGTTCAAAGTAATGCAAAAGATATGTCAAGAGCTTCCCGGCCTCATTCAGAACTCAGTGGGGACTGGCTTGGCTTTTGCTTGTGCATCGAACTCTCTAAATAAACCTACTCCTCTTAAGTTGGACGTGTCTGTTCCTTCTTTACATGAAATCAAATGGAGTTTTGCAAGGTTTCTTTACCTATTCAATATCCAGCTTGAGAAGAACATAGCCACGTATGTCCTAAATCCAATATTCTCTATCAAGATGCTAGTTGCTTTGCTTCTATTTCTATGAGATAGTTGAATAACCATGTATGTACAAATGTTACTAGCTACAGAATCAATTAGAGGTCTGGTTAATTTGTAAAGTGTCAGAATTTTCTGGGAGGATTCTCTGAATATAAAGTGGAATAGTGTAGATTCCTGACTAAAATCTTTTGTCTTCCAATAGTGAATACTTGTTTCTCAAGTGTAATATCAGATTCCTGCGGAGTATGATTGTTAGTGTCACTGTGCTTGAGATGAGCATTGTTCATATGTAGTTACAATGTTACATTCTAATTCTTTCTGACTATGACATCCATTCTGATTACTTGTCATGGCTATTTTAGGTTCCTTGTGGTGCTCCTTGTAGCATGCATATCGTTTGTTGTAATCGGGGGATTCCTATTTCACCAGTTCAGGTAACATAGCTTTATTTAAATAAGTTATCTATGTAATGCCTTCTCAAGATCGTCTTATTGTAGTTATAAGTAGAAGATAAAACTCAATTTTTGGTTTTGGTTTGATGAAGAAACTGTAGAAAAAAAGAAAAAGATCGTCATATGCCATGTATATTATGACGATCTTGTAAAATGGATTTAAACTTTAACCCAGTGAACATGTACATTTTTCCATTCCATAATTCCATTGCTTTCCTGTTGTGAAGGAAAGACAATCAACCCATAGAAGACTGTTTCTGGGAGGCCTGGGCATGTCTCATTTCCTCTTCTACTCATCTGAAGGTAATCATCTGTACTTCTTCACCGATTCAAAGATATGAAGATATTATTCTAGATCAATTACAACTTAAAAGCCTCATGATATTGCTATGGAGTTCTTGCAACTAAAAAATTCCATATGTTTGCTGAAAACTGCAGCAAAAGACACGCACGGAAAGAGTCATTGGATTTGTCCTAGCCATTTGGGGAATATTGTTTTACTCTCGGCTTTTAAGCACAATGACGGAACAATTTCGGGTAAGTTCTTGAGATAAACATGTGAGAAATGAATACAAGTTCCTGATTGCTTTGTCTGGCAGAGTAATATGCAAAGGCTGAGGGAAGGGGCACAAATGCAAGTCCTAGAAGCTGATCATATCATCATTTGTGGAATAAACAGTCATCTGCCTTTCATACTAAAGCAACTGAACAGTTATCATGAGCATGCTGTCCGCTTAGGTACTGCTACAGCTAGGTAATTTGATCTCTATATTAATCTTAAAATTTATTTCCCTGCTTATGTCGACTTGGCTGATTACTTTTGCGTGTTACATGCTTTCAGGAAGCAGAGACTTCTGCTTATGTCTGATACTCCAAGGAAGCAGATGGACAAGCTAGCTGAGGCGTACTCTAGAGATTTCAATCACATTGACATCCTTACGAAGAGGTAAAGTGGTTGACACGGTAAAACCGATAAGCTGCGTAGGTTCATGCCATATTTATCATTGATCTTGTTGGTTTGCATATATTTACAGTGCTGATTTCATGCTTCTACCAGTGCAGTTGTAGTCTTAACATGACAAAATCGTTTGAGAGGGCTGCCGCTTGTATGGCGCGGGCCATCATCATACTACCAACGAAAGGTGATCGGTAAGAAAATTTGAAGTCTCGGAAAGTATATATGAAGAGAAAACTGAGATTGCAATCAGCTTTGAGGAAGAAGATTATGGAAACTGAGAAGTTTTGAATAGATTTTCGAGTAGTAGAAGTGTGCAGTGTCCTAGCTCATTCGTGTTCGCTTTTTGCCGTAATAATATACAAATGATAGGGGTATGAAGCTAGCTTAGCAATTGGTATATATAGGATACAGTATAGAAAGTATTTGGATGGTTTGGGGACTTTAGCGTTGAGAAAGTTGAGACTTCTCTTGATTTAACTCATTGTTACTTCTCTTCATTATGCACTTTGGTTCTCAATCAGAACAAAGAAGAAATCTGTTCTGAAAACTGCCTGAAAACTGAAATGCTAGTGGTAAAAAATTTGGAATCTCAGTACTTTGTGAAGAGGAATCAATTAAGTTAAACATTCTTTCAGGTACGAAGTTGATACAGACGCATTTCTTTCTGTATTAGCCCTTCAACCTATACCAAAGATGGAATCTATCCCAACCATTGTAGAGGTAAGTTAGGTAACTGAAGATTTTGCAGTAATAGTTATTTTGTTTTATAGTGATGATCTTTTCACTTTCTTAATATTCTTTTGGTTCTGGAAATGAAATGCAGGTATCAAGCCCTAGTACATATGATCTTCTCAAGTCCATTTCGGGACTGAAAGTGGAGCCGGTTGAAAATGTTACGTCCAAATTGTTTGTACAATGCTCTCGTCAAAAGGACTTGATAAAGATCTACAGGCACCTGCTAAATTACTCAAGTACGGTGTGCTTTCATCTTACATTACTGTGTTATCTGTTTGAAAAATTTATTGTATTAAGTTTGTATTCAAGACTAATAATACCAATTCTACTCATTGCAGAAAATGTATTTAATCTTTGTAGCTTCCCTAATCTAGCTGGGATGAGGTATAGACAGTTAAGACTAGGGTTCAAGGAGGTAGGATTTGATTTACTATCTTGTGAGCATGTGATTTCATTCTTCGAATCATTAAGTTTGGTGTTTGTTACTAATTTCATTCTCTACATGTATTCCTTTCAGGTTGTGGTATGTGGCCTTTTACGAGATGGGAAAGTAAATTTCCATCCAAATGATGACGAGAAGCTCAATGAAACCGACAAAGTATTGTTTATTGCGCCTCTCAATTGGAAAAGGAAGCAACTTCTATATACAGACATGGAAATTGAGAACATTACAGTAGATGAGCCTGATACTCGGAAGCAAGTGTTTGAGAAGAAAAGATCACGGCTAGAGAAGATTATAATGCGTCCTAGTAAGTCTTTATCGAAGGTCTGACTCCCAAACTCCCCCTACCCTACAATGCTTGAACTATAATAAAAATTTAAGACCTCTGATTTTCATTTCTATGGTTTACACAGGGATCAGATTCCGTCAAAGGACCCAAAGAATCTATACTTTTACTTGGTTGGCGTGCAGATGTTGTTCATATGGTTGAGGAGTTTGATAACTATCTTGGTCCGGGCAGTTCAATGGTATGCCCTGCCCATATACTGCTTTCTCTGTCTGGTTTGACCTCGTCTCCTGGGAAGAATTACTAATAATTTTTCTTTACACAACAGGAGATACTATCAGATGTACCATTAGAGGACAGAAGTAGGGTGAGCGATGGTATAGGTTCAGGGAAAATCAAGAACATCAAAGTTTCACATAGGGTACATTTCATTTTTTTCAGTGGTATGAACAAGGATAGCTTCAAAGTCATGAGGTCGCTGAAGTCTTTTAATCTTTTTACAGGTTGGGAATCCTATGAACTATGAGACGCTTAAGGAAACTATAATGCATATGCAAAGTAAATATAGGAAAGGTGAAGATATTCCTTTGACCATCCTTGTGATATCGGATCGAGACTGGCTTCTTGGAGGTAAGCATTCGTGATTAGTTCTTTGTCTTTGGAAATATTGATTTAACACTAACAAATAGTTTGCTCTCTTTTAGATCCATCTAGAGCAGACAAACAATCCGCTTACTCTCTTCTCCTCGCTGAAAGCATCTGCAACAAGCTTGGAGTGAAGGTATTGTACTGAATTTTCTTGGCAGCGTACACTACATTGAATAAATGAACTTCATTTTGCTATTGTTGTTTCTCTAGGCACAAAATCTAGCTGCAGAAATCGTTGACTCAAAACTCGGCAAGCAGGTATTGAAAGTCTTTTTTCTGATCTCGTTTTCTTACAAGTAGATTAAGTTGCTCAAACATAAATACAAAACCATGTAGATAACCGGAATCAAGCCGTCCTTAACACTTATAGCAGCAGAGGAAGTAATGAGCCTTGTAACAGCACAAGGTGCGTTTATTGTTTCTTTTCTTTTAATTTTACCTGCAATCCAAACATTACTAATAACTAGTACTCCTTTATAACCAGTTGCTGAAAACAGCGAATTGAACGAGGTGTGGAAGGACATATTAAACGCAGAGGGTGATGAGATCTACGTAAAGGTTAAAAACAAAAAACAAACACTCTTTCTGCAAATCTTTTGGCTTTAACTTTTACAGAATTCACAATCATACTGTGGTCTGAAAATCTTGAGTTTTCTTTGACACACAGGACATTGAGCTGTACATGAAGAAGGGAGAGAACCCTTCATTTACCGAGCTCTCGGAGCGAGCTTGGCTTAGGAGAGAAGTCGCCATAGGCTACATAAAAGGCGGTAAAAAGGTGACTGTTTCATTAGTCATTACTCTGCAACAGACAATAAACCATAATTTCTCTTGACTAACATACATAACTGTGGTGTTTGTTTTTGGGTTGTAACAGGTAATCAATCCGGTTCCAAAGACAGAACCTCTCTGCCTCGAAATGACAGACTCATTGATTGTTATATCAGAGCTTGAAGGAGACCAACCCATCATACTATGAAAATATACACACATTCATGTAATAGGTTATTACACACCAAGCGACATTGGGGGGTAAAGGACACTAACTCACAACTGCAAAGCATCAGAATAAGTCGTTGATTTTGTACAAAGAAACAAATCCTGTTTACGTCGATGTCTTCTTTGTTCATTTGGGAGATCATTTGGTCATAATTTTTTTTCTTTCTTATTTAAATTAAAAAGCCTATATGTCTGTTGAGTCTATGCTCTTTATAGAATTGAATAAATCATACCTTCTTCTTCCATAGAACTCTGTGATAACGGCTAAAGCCTTGGCGAGGCTCTTCCTATTCATTGCTTATTACAGTTCGGCCATGGGAAAAATAATATATGGATTATCTAGAATCATTCTAGATGCTACTTTTGGTTATGTTATTTGATTTGTTCTACAATCATTCCCAAAGTTGCTTTTTTTTTTGGGACATTGTAGTAAAGTTAACTGTTATAAAATTCATCAAGTTTTCACGTTCTTCAAAATAAAACTATTTCATATATAATGCACATGTTAAAATATAGTATAGAAATGTGAGTCTCTTGAAATATTTGTAACTAGGTGGTAGCCCGCACATGTGCAGGCGAAAATGTGTTAAAAATAAGTTTTTTACTTGTTCCGAAAGTGATGATCACATACTCTAATTTTTTATAGATTTGAACAGTTAATCTTGATGCATAAAGAGATCGTATTTAGCTGTTTAACTTAAACAAATGAAAAAATTAATAATGTGAGTAATTTACATAATACTATCGAAAGTGAAAATAAGAAAACTTGTAACCAATCTTAATTTCATAAACAACAAAGGCAAAGAGAGTATCGATCCAATATCTCAAGACCCCAAGATAGAATAGTTGATGTTTTTAAATTCGCTAAAAGATATAATGTTAGAAGATTTAACATAAAATATAATTAGGTGATTACATCATTAAATTATTAACTTTGTTACAAATAAAAAAATCAAACATAAATATAACAACAATATTAGACATTCAACCAATAAAAAAAGATCTAACAACCATAATAAATATATTGTTCTATTTACTAAATATTGTAATTACATAAGTTTATTTTTCTGTAATTCTTTTTACCTCTCCCTCGTCAGAGTTCTCTCTTCATTTTCTCGTAAGTATTTGTCATTCTAATCGGTTATTCCACATGTTTCCGTTCTTCTTCTTTAACGTATTTGATTTATGTTTTTTCTTCTACTTAATTGTCTTTGACTTTGACTTATTCTTTATCATCTTTTTTCTTTTCGAACAATTGTTCTTCTCCATTCTCTTTCGGTTTGTCATTGTCTTTCTCTTCCGATTATTCTTTTTCATCGTTTTCGTCTTCTCTGACTTATTATTTTTTCGGTTTTCTTCATCTTCTACATTTTCATCTCTATCTTCTTCTTTTTCTTCCTCTTCTTCATATTATTATTTTTCTTCTTCATGTTATTTTCCTTAATTTCTTAATCATCTTGGGCTTCTTGTTTTTATAATCTTTGTCTTCTTCGATTTCTTCTTTTTCTTTTCTTTTGTTTTTTATCTGTCTTGTTTTTGTTCTTCTTCCTTCTTATAATTCATCACATTTTTTTTCTTTGTTTTCTTTAATTTCTTGTTTTAAGTTTCTCTTAGCTTCCTTTTTCATCTTCACCTTCTCATACTTTGTTATCTTCAATTTCCGTTTTTCCTTTCTTATCTTGAACATATATGTCCTCGTATTTTTTGATTTTTTCTTAATCAGCTTTCTCTTCTTTTCCTCCTCTTTTTTGCTCTCATCTTCCTCGTTTCCTTCTTCATCTTCATCCTCTACAACTTTGACTTCTACTTCTTTATCGTCTTTTTCTTCTCCAACACATGCTTCTTCTTTTACTTTTTTTTTCTCCGTTTTTTCTTTTGAGTTTTCTTTAATCTATCATTCTTACTTATTTCGTCTTTGTCTTCTTCCTCTTCTGCTTAGTCTTCCTTGTTTCTTTCTTCATCTTCATCCTCTGCGACTTTAACTTCTACTTCTTTATCGTCTTTTTCTTCTCCAACACCTGGTTCTTCTTTTAGTTTTGTTTTTTATTTTTCTTATTTCTTTTGAGTTTTCTTTAATCTATCATTCTTACTTATCTCGTCTTTGTCTTCTTCCTCTTCTGCTTCCTCTTCTGATTTTCCTCAAAGAATTTTTCTTTTTTTTTTCCTTATTTTCTTTGACTTATTTTTCACAATATTCATAATCTCAACTTCTTTTTTTTTCCACTTTCTTACTCCCCTTCTTCTTCCTCTTATTCTTCTACTACTTTGTTTTCTCATTTTTTTTCTTTTTCTCTAACCTCTCAAGCGTCTGATTCTTTTTCTTATTCTTCTTCTTCAACTTCCCCATCTTGTTAACCTTATGTGTCTTCATTAGTTTGGGTTATCCACCTTTTTATTTTTCTTTTCGGAATTTATTGATATGAATTTGTTACTTCTTCGTCGTCTATTCATCTTCTTTTCTGCTTCTTCTTCTTTTATATCCTTCAACTTCTTCTGTAGTTTTTTTTTTCTCTTATTTTGAATAGGATTTACAATTGATATTTGTATTGATTTGTACAGAATCAATTTCGTTAAAGGTAGTATAATAATTCTTGTGCAATAAAAAAGAGAGAACGTAAGATTTGTAGGCTAACATGTTTTTTTCATTGTTGTTTGCTCTGATTATGTTACTTCTAATGAGGTTTTGTAAGAATTTTTTCATTCAATCAAAATCAAATTCAGATGAAACATTTTTACAATACACAACTTTTCAAAAACAATATCTCATTGCTGTCATTGGAAATTTGACCATAATGTCCGTTTCACATGTATAATAATAAAATGATCAAAAGTTGCAACAAAGCTGTAGAAGTTCAGGAACAAATTTTTCGTCATGCTTATTTCCTATTTTGTTCTCTTAGTTTACTTTCAACCATCTTGGCCATCTCTTTGTTCTCCTTCTTCATATCAGTCGCACATTTTTTTGACATCAAAACAGCTTCATCATTTCAAGTATTATTTCTTGTAGCTTACGTTGATGAAACCACTTATATATTTAAATTATCTAAATTTAAAAAACAATTACAGTTAATATATAAACATATTATAGTATCTATCATATATAAATAAAATGGTATTTACATGTGTTACCTACGATTAAAAAATATTGTACAAAGAAAAAACAAAATCCTAAAATATGTTTCTTCTTTAATTTTTCTTTCTTCTTCAATATCTGTGATTTCTTCCTGCTTGTTTTTATCGTCTTTATTTCTTCTGACTTCTTTTCACTGTCTCCAATTTCTTCATTTTCTTTCTTATCTTTCTTTATCATATTCGGCGTCTCGATATAATTATTCAGGTTTTTCTTCGTCTTTTATTTTTCTGATTTGTCTAATTTAACTAATTTCTTTTTTGCTGGTATCATGTATTATATTAAATTGATGAGAGTGTTGTATCTTGGAAACAAAAAAAAACCATTAAGACCGTCTTAGATTGATCGGTTGAATTGATTTAAAGCTATATTTTAGTAAGATTAGTGAAAATGAATAAAAAAAATATGAATTTTTAGAAAAAAGATTAATTCACCTGGTTTCACTTAATCGATTTAAGAATGATCTAATTTTTTGATCCAAAATCTCAAGCCTTGTATATATATATATCAAGACTAATACAATTAAAAAAAAACATAAAGTAAATCTCTAAAGATGGAGTTTTTTTTTCTTTCTTTTATATGTCTTTCTTAATACATATGAAGGGGGAGAGTTGATCAAGTAGTGTTCCTGTTCTTGTTATGCTCATCAGATACAATTCCTCAAGTATATATATTTTTTACTTTCAAACATCTGATAAGCAAATATCAAAACATAAACGTATTTCAGAGTCCTCAGTTAAAGGAATAATATCAACAGAAGGACACAAAAAGGATTATACTAATGTTTTGTAAATGTTAAGAACCAGAGAGATTCAGTAGTCAGTCACATTGTTGTCGCTTCTAAGTTTGAAAAATTTTAAATGACGGTTGGTGTTTACTTACACACGCACATAATAGGTGTCACATAAAGCACCAGACCCAAAATACAAAGAGACCAATTTTAGCTCATGATTTCAAAGCTAATGTGAGCTCCAATTTAAATCAAAGAATGCTACTACTCTAACACTGTTTACATATACACATTTCTCACTTTTGTATATTTGAACTGGTAAACCGTAGTTATGGAACACCCTAATCCTACCGTCCCAAGTTGCTGTCACGATCACAAGCCCCCACAGGTGCGGCGTACAAGGGTTGACGTTCTCGCATACGTTCCTCAAGAGCCTCAGCTTAGACCTGATGCTGGCTTTAGCTGAAATCGCTGCTGCACCTGCACCTGTTACTACGCCAAGCTTCTCTTCTTGCCACGTTGTTTCTCCTTTCATTGAAGAAAGACAGTCCATCCACAACAGGAAATGAGCAACTTTTGTTTGTAGATCAGCAATGAAACTGTCCCCCTGTATGGCAACAGACATAAGACCTTATCGTTTTTGGTTTCTGAGAAGAAACAGCCTTCTTATTTGGTTGAGAGTAGTCCCATACATGAATCACTGAGCCCTCTACTGCTGACACAATGTGTTTCCAACAGAGCAGAGGTTGGTCTCAATGTTGTCCTAAGACTGAAAGCTACAAAACATCCACCAAGAAAATAAGAAAAAGATTATATCAAAACAACCCCATAGAAGAATTCACCTCAGCACTGAAATTCCACTGTCTTTAGAACTTCATACAAAACTGAAGCAATTATGCGAGTAAACTCTCAAACGTGATACACAAGAACTTGTACCTCGGTAAACTAAAAAAAAACAACAAATACAAATGATCCAATATCCCAAGAGTTAGATACACCAATAAAGAAATAAACAAATTTCTTTTATCAAATGCAGTTGTGTCTAATAATACATGGCCTATATCTGCTTGTGTCATAAAGAGAACCCGAGCCTAAATTTTATAAAGAAACAAACAAAAAAAAGTTCTTTTTCAGTAAAATTGAGGACATGTGAATCTCTAAGGCAGATATCAAGGGACATCAAATCAAGTGTACATGGATCCTCCTCATGTATTCTGTTAAGATCTAGAACATAAGTAAATGTAACAATGGAAGAAACTAACGACAGATCCATGTGTTAAAAAAAGAGGAGGGAGGCGCACGTTATACAAAAGTTGTTATGAAATGTCTCAAGAATCTAGTAAACAAAAAACAGAGACAACAGAACAGAATACACAAAGATTGTGCCATAACCGTAGAGTGATGGGAATTCTGAATACTGGAGAATTCGAGCTTCGCGAAACAAAAGATTAT